CGGCTCCCGCTTTTGCAATTGCATATGCGATTGGATAACTGGAGGATCTCCACACGTGAGCCTCGACGGCTGCCTCCGCTGGCAGCGCTCGTCGCTACCCGCCGCAGCGCAGAACAGAAGCCACTCTTGCGGGCCACGGGCGCGTGGCGGGAAGCTCCGGCACAGCCACGCAAAAAGGCATGTGCGTCTAGTTTTTTTCAGGGCCTGTGTGCTCGTTTGGTCGTGGGCCTTTGTCATTGCTTTGCGTCTCAGGACTTGCAAGGCCCTCAAATGTCTGAAGAAACGCGAGGGGTTTGGGGGCTCGGCTGGCACGTTCCTGTTGAGCCCTGACCCGCGAAGCATCCCACAAACTTGCCTAAATGACCTCTTTCAATCTTGGCTAAGTGACCGTCCCCAGTATGTGAATCGAAGTGGTAAAAAACAGAAAGTGGCTACAGTGGCTACTCAAAACAACCTGCCGCAGCCCGTTGAGCTGCTGTAATGGGGGGCCCTGTTTCGCAAAACCTCTGGTCACCCGGGTCGTCTATTTGAACTTTATTGCAAAGCAACAGTGTGCAAAAGAACAGGGGCGCACATACATGTTAGAGAAAGCGGTGCTATTTCATTTCATAGTGGAGGAAGATTTGCGCATGTCTTGCTTGGAGTTGGTGCCTTTTGCTTTTGGCATGTTTCCCGAGGTTCACTTTTTTGTTGTGCCTTTAAAATACGGGACCCTTTGCCTTCAAAACCTAACTCACTTTTGGGCGATTGCAATGCGCCGGCTGAGGTGTTTGTTGTTGTTTTTGCGTAGCCCTGGCCCTGGCACAGCCTGGCACGAACAAAAGACATCAACTCAGTCTACAACTCAGGGTGGGCTAAGGGTAGGTTTCAGGCTGGTTCGGCAAGGCTTGTGGTAAGCTTAGTGTAGGTTTAGACTCCGTTTAGGGTAGGTTCAGGCCAGGCATCGGTTTAACATCCTCAGCTTTCCACTCCTCAGCATCACCAGGCTTTGGGGCTGGGTTTCAGCTGGGCTATGTTCTGGTGGGCTCTAGGCCTCCTGAGGTGGTTGGTAGGGTAGGTTGAGAGTTGGCTACGGCAGTGGTTGTGTTTCAGGGCAGCAATCAAGACTCAAGGTTTGGGGTGGGTTTTGGGGTGGGTTTTGGGTAAGCTTGGGGTAGGTTCCATCATTCTCACATCATCTGGCTTTGGGGTGGGCAAAACTGGGTTCCAGGGTTGGGTTCTGGTGCTGAGAGCAGTGTTTGGGGTGGCTGCGCTTCAGGCGTGTTGGTAGAGTCGGCTGCAGCCAGCAAAGGGTGCATGTTGATATCTACACAACATCTGAAAGCCTGCAGGAAAGGTTGGCGGCAGAACCCCCCCCGATGTTTGACTGGACTACAGATTAAGCAAAGGGTGCTTTTGCATGATGTTCGAAGAAGCGAAAATTCAAGCAAGGGTAAACAGCAGCGGGGGGTCAGAGGGTTTGGGGGGCGGCAGCCCCCCCTCCCGTGATGTTCGAAGAAGTGCATACAGACAGACAGACAGACAGACAGACAGACAAACAGACATAGACTACATAAATTACATACATACATACATACATACCAAAAGAACATATGAGGCCGCGGCAAAACCTCAATTGAAATGGGCTGCACATGTGTTTTCTTCTCGGTTTTGCGTCAAAGTTTATCGTTTTACACATTAGATGTATGTTCAACCTTATCGTTTTTTTTGCACCTTATCGTTTTACCGGGGTTCGCGCAGTTTTGGACAACTGCGCGTGCATCAGCTCTCATGGTGGCTTCAAAGGCTTTCTTCGTCGGACTCACGAGCAGCAAGCTCCTTCCATGCTTTTCGTTTGCGTTTGCTTGCTTCAATTTGTTTGGCTAGCCTGCGCTCATCAACTGCAATAATGTGTTCCAACGTAGAGTCCAAGACATGTTCCAACGTAAAAGACAAGTATGCTGTCCATGGCCGGGAGACATCAAAGGGAAAGCTAGGGTAGAATGGCTAAGTTCCTCTCAATGGGCAACTCCTCACGCGCATGGGTTGTCAAAAAACGTTATCGTTTTTGTTATCGTTTTGTTATCGTTTTCAGCGTCGTGACTCGGAAGCCTCTCCCGGGTCCCAATGCTCCAAGCCATGGTTGTGAACAGGAAGGACGGAAAGGGAGCAAACAAGATTCTGCAAAATGCTAGCAATACGTGCATTCCATGCTCCAAACCTTATCGTTTTCCAGCACAAACAACACGGACACACCCAAAAACCTTATCGTTTTTTTTTGCACCTTATCGTTTTACCGGGCTTCGTGATTGTCCAACACAATGTGCGCGACTCCTACATCCCGCAAGCACGAGAGTATTGCCAGTACCTCATATGTAACACAGTTGCCGGAGAAGAGCAAAAGTCGCAAAAGCCAACAAAGCCACCTGCCATCAGAGGAACTGGGAATTCAGAGCATGCGAAAGGCAATAAACCCACGAAAAAGCCACAAAAGCTCAAAACCCAAAAGGCCACTAACCCCGAAAAACCAACCAACCCACCAACCCACCAACCCACCAACCCACCAACCCACCAACCCACCAACCCACCAACCCACCAACCCACCAACCCACCAACCGATCAACTCACCAACCCACCAACCCACCAACCCACCAACCCACCAACCCACCAACCCACCAACCCACCAACCCACGAACCCACCAACCCACCAACCCACCAACCCACCAACCCACCAACCCACCAACCCACCAACCGATCAACCACCAACCCACCAACCCACCAACCCACCAACCCACCAACCCACCAACCCACCAACCCACCAACCCACCAACTCACCAACCCACCAACCCACCAACCCACCAACCCACCAACCCACCAACCCACCAACCCACCAACCGATCAACTCACCAACCCACCAACCGATCAACTCACCAACTCACCAACTCACCAACCAGTCAACCCACCAACCAACCGACCGACCGACCGACCAACCATCCAACCAACCAGGCCCGCCAAGGTTAGCCCTGTGCCAGGGCTATGCAAACAAAAACATCCTTTCCGCAATGCACCTATTCAGAGCCCGACAACAAAGGCCCCGGCCGCAAAAAGATGGGTGGTGTCCTTGTCAATCACCTTTGAAACGGCAAACCCAAAACGGGTGGCCGTTTCCCGTCGGTCCTGCGAGGGCAGGCGACCCTCCAGGGCGTCCAGCCACTGCTTCAGCGCCTGGGGCTAAAGGCGAAAAGCGACGAGTCCGAGCCCCAGAACTCTGAGAAATGGGTCAAAGCGATGACCTTCCCGCAATTGAAGGGGGTTTCAAAGGAACAACAATAGCAAGATAGATAGTCGCAACGTTTCATTAAGCTTGTCTGTGACACACACACACACACATTAGCACAGACCTCAAAATCCTTGTTCACTTCAGCAGCACCGACCCATTCATTGCTTTGGTTCCATCACTCCAATCTTTTAGTCACGTCCCGAACATGGCCCACGCTTTCCTGCGCGGTTCGGCCTCATCAGCACTCCAGATCAAGGAGTCTAGGTCCTGGCAGCTTAGAACTTAGAACCCCACGATTTTAGGGATGGCGCAAAGCGCAAAACTTTCGTGGAGCACACAACTGTCCCTTGTCTACTTGTCTTCGCATTGCTCATAGGAGGGCGTTTACCAGACCTCGCCGACGCATGGCAGAAGGATAAAAGGTTCCCTGGCGGTTGTTGATTGAAAATAGGATTGGCGAATTGCAGATCTGTCATGATGTTATGGCTCGTGTGTGTGTGTGTGGACGGTTCTGGGGAGGAAAGAAACAGCAAACAACGCATTCCCACAGCAGGGGCCAATTGTCGCCTTCGCACGCATCCCAAACTTTGGCAAATCGGCAGTCTGTTGGCGGTCCCAAGCAGGCACAAAACTACTTACTTGCTTTTTGTGCTGCTGGCTTCAATACAGCAAACTTAAGGCTAATACAGCATGAACCATCTCCCCGGCTGCTCACCTGCCAATCAACAAACACACCTAGCTGAGTCTTGACCATTCTTCTACCAGCTTTCAGAACACGAAGTCAGCCAGACTCTGGTGACGTGGGCCGGCACCTCGTTTCAAGCGAAACAGCCTACGCTTCAGTAGGACTCAGGTCTTTCCCGATTCATCGCCAAGGCCTGTAGCTGCAACCCAGTCCCCTGAACCGATCTCCACTCCTTCACCATGGCCTCAGTTCCCAGTGCCTGTGCCTGCCTGTATGTCCGTCTGTCTTCGATGAACGGGCGCAAAGGTCACACTACACCAAAGTGGACTGACTATATAAGGGGAGGGGTTGTGGATCGATTAAAATTATTACTCCTTACCCACCCTGCACGTGACTTCCTTCAGGCCGGCAGTCACAGGCAGCCCCTGCTGTCGAGTGGCAATCTCTGCAGCTTTGCTGTGGCCATGGCACGAACGTCAAATGTCACCGGGTTCCAATGTTAGGGACTGTCTTACGCATTTTGGACGTGCACGAGCTGCAAGCAGCATCCAGTTGTTGCTTTTGGATTTGCATGCCTCTGGCACTGCTGTCCAAGCGGTAAACGAAGCTGCAAAGCATGACCTGAGGTGGACATAAGTCGCATTTGCGAACCTTGAGCCAACGGCTAAGACATCCGAGTTGCACTCTCACAGCCATGCAAGTGACACTGGGAGTGTCATCCTTATCTGGGATGACGTCAAAAGGCGACCAAATGGAAAGACACTTTTTGGGGAGGGTTGCTTGGTTTGAAGCATCCCATTCGAATCGGCACCCTCAAGAATGGTGCTTGAAATCTTTGGGCATGGCAAAAGTGAACTTTTGTCTCAACACATGTCGCAGAGGAGCTGAGCCAAAGTACAGTAAGCATAGGCACAAGCTTAGGCGCTGTTTGGTAACTCCTACGTAGCTGGGTCGCCAGTGGAAGTGATTTTGTCTCCAACTGAGTAGAACTGAGTTGAGTGCCAGGGCTTTGTCACAAGCTGAAGTGATTGGACCACAACGACAAGCAAACCCGGCCTGAAGAGGTCGAGCCACCTCGGTGACAAATTCGCACGGACAGAGGCGAGCTTTGGCCGACGTCTGCGCTGCAAGAGTTCAACTTGAGCCTTCAAACAAAAAAACACTCATAAACACACAAGTAGAAGGCTGAGCATTTGTGTTAGAGGCCCTGCTGTTGCAATTGTATTAGGCCATGTCAAGTACTGCAGGCGGTTCCTGGGCTCTGTGATTTGAGCCCTTTCAGGAATATGAAGAAAGACTGCTATGTATTGCCGAACCGCAACTCTTGTGCAAGAGAGTCATCGCTTAACGTGTACAGTCAAATTGCTCATGGAAAAATGCTTGCTGGGATAAGGGCGAGTCTGCCAAGATTGCGCGGCAGACTGCATCTGAAGGCTTCGCGTTACCAATGCAGGGATTATCCTGTGATTATATCGGAGAACATGCCACTTTCCTGCTGAAAAGAACCCATCAGCGTATACAAGCTTCCACAAACCATGTACAGCCAGCAGACTGTGAAGCTACCCCTCCGTAAAAAAATGCCACCCTTCACATGGCTCAAGGTCTAAAGGATTCATGGTCAAAGGCCCGTGTGACGAAACCGTTTGGAGTCACCAGGGTAACAGCAAACAAGAATGATACCGTACCCGTGAGAGAGGCTCCTTTGGACATGTCCAGGTCTCAGCAAGGGATAAGGTCTGCTTGACCTCATGTGCTTGCTAATTATGCAATGGCCATCGCTTGCCCATGCCGATTATGCTTGAATGAGCCCCTGTTCGTTCCAGCACCTTGAAGCCGAACTAGGGGACCAATGGGCTTGCCCAAGTCCCGATGAAAGGTGCTCCTTGGTGTCTTATGTGCCTTATTCAGCGCGCGCTCGTGTGTTTGTCTCTCAAACAACGTGGAAGTAGTCGACACCTTCCACGGCTGCAGGCTGATCTCTTTGGATGGCTTCAAGCACATCGTAGCCTCGCTCCAGCGCCACGCATACAACCTCAGCGCCACCATATTCGGACACACATCAGCCTAACCATTGACTAACTAATCTGCACACCCACTGTACGTACGCCTGTAGCAGCCACCTTCCCGGGATCAAGCTTTGCAATTGCCCAGGCAAGGACTTGACCACAAAACAGACCCAAGCACAAAACTAGACCCTGATCTCACTTCCGGCCCTCTGACCCGCCCGCTGACCACAGAGGCTGAGGGGCGAAGGGCGACTGGAGCCTGGGCTGCTCCAGCACCGGCACTTGCAAGGGCGCGGCACCCTCCATGGGCAGAGAAACGCTCTTCCCAATCTTCTTAGGGTCCACCTGCGCACGGTATTTGAGGCGAGAAGCTCGGTTTAAAGCAACTGGACCATGGACACCTTCAAGGGGAAGCCAACAGGAGCTTGGTCCGTCATGATTGGCTTCAACAAATCAAACAAGAGGGTGGCCCAAGCCTTCCAGCTGGCGCACAAGTCATATTGCATGGATGATTGTAGCTCACCAACCCACAAAACGTAGTCAAGCAAACGCTGTGAGAAATAAAAGGAACCTTGATGACTGGTGGGGTCGTAAGCCCTTTTTTCGAGGTCGCAATAGTTTGACCAGCTCAAATCAACCTAACAACGTGAAGCCCATCCACCAGCGACATGTGGACCTCCATGTAAAACAATACGACACATTTAAGCCGAAGAGGGCTCCTAGCGGTGGTATGCGGCCAGTTGGATTAAGGCAATTTGACTTGAATCACTTCTCACCTCTGATTCCTGTGATCCCAGCCAAAGCGTTCAATCCTGGACAAAGGGTGGTCCAAGTAACTTCAGATCTCAAGGGCCCGGCATGTACCAAGGGACCAACAGGGGAATCCCCCTGTCTTGCGCCAGCCGACAAAACACGTAGGATTTCAGAGGCCACCACTTCAGCCCTAAATGCAAACCTGCTATCTGCACGTGGGTCAGAAAGCTCACATCATCAGAATACTGAGCGGCCAGTGTCAAGGTACACTTGCCCTCGGTCTGTTTGGTTGTTGGGCTGCGGCTGCTTCACTTTGACCGAGAAAATCATTGAACAGTTTCGCCTCACAGCGTGCCACGCACCCTCTTTCTTTGCTGGCTCTCGCATGCTCGCGTACCCAACTAATGTCAAAACGAAGAACGCGGCCCCAGCTTGCCATCGGCTTGATCCACGTAAACACCCATCGTGGCAGTGGTTTATGGCAGCTTCTGGCGCTTATGGCAAGGCTGTACCACACAAAAACGTTGAGACTTGTTTGATAGAACTCTTGAACAAATCCTATTGATTCATTCAACTTGGGAGAGACCCCTTCCTTCCCTCCCCTTTGTGGCCTAAAGTTGCCAGGCATATCCAGGGTGGACTGTTCCCTACAAGGTGCTCTGCAGCCCCGCCACTCCCTGATTCATGTTTGCCCCAGTGCCATCATGCAAACCTGGAGTTTCCTAATGAGTTTCTTCCGAAGAAGGAAGCACAAGCTGTAGAGGAGGCCACTATTGCTTGGACTAGGTGACTCTAGGATTCACCATGGCTATACCTCAGAGAACACTTGATTACCTGCTGACTTCAAAGGTCAAACATCAGCCCCCTTTGAGCCACACCTCGTAGAAGGCGCGTACAAGGCGTCGGGCCTGCGGTGACAAAGCCTGGCGTCCGGGTGGGAAGAATAGGTTGGCTGTTGTTTGGGTACCTGGGCTTCTCTCCAACTTGTGGACTTTCGTGGCATTTTCACCCAGGAAAGGTCAACCTGTGCAAACAGGAGTGTGGAAAGACATTCCACTTTTGGGACATGTCACTCCAATCAACCCCCCTATCCTTGTAATGTGTCCATTTTCCTGCCATCAGCCGGACTGCCAGACAATCCCTGCAGCCACAAACACCTAGAGGTCATTTCGCCTCACTAACCACACAAACAACAGCCTAAAGACGGTTGCAAACTAGACCAAAGCCAGGTGCCCCCCTTCCCCACCCCCCACTGAGCCGAGCCCCATGCCCTGTCCGCCTTGCAGAAGTCTCGGGCGTCCCGGCCCGCGCCCAGCACCCCAAAGCCCTGGCGCCATGGCTCCCCAGGCAGCACCTGGCGCTCGAAGGCCGAGGCCTGGCAAGCTGAAGGCTGGGATTTCGCGTCTCACGGACTTCACATGGATGGCTCACTCTGCTGGGGTTCCCCTTACCCACCTACCAACACCCCAAACCCTCCAAACCCACCTACCAACACCGCAAACCCAATCGCAAACCTCAATCCCCAACCCACCTGCTAAACCCACCCCAAGCCACTCAGAGTGCTTCCCACTCTCCGCCTTGGCGCTCTGCACCTGGCGCCGCGGCAGGCGCCAGCTGCGCTGGCCGGGGTGGCAGCGGTACCGCAGCAGGGGCCGCGGCACCCTACCAGACCGGACACACGGACAGGACAAGAGACGCGTTTAGCTTGGTTGTGCTGTTTTGTGTTTGTTGTCTTTTGTGTTTGTTTTCTTTTGTTCTGTGTTTTCTTTTGTTTTGTGTTTTCTTTTGTTTGTGTTGTTTTTGTGTTGTTCCCAGCGACATTGGCTTTGGCATCTTTGTTGCACTTGAGGTGGAGGTGGTTGTTCCCAACTGCTCAATGGCAAGGAATCCGGCTATTGACTATAACGTGTGGGCTTCGTTGTGCTGACCATGCTGAAGTTATTCAGCTAAGGCAGGGCTGTTTTTGACCAAAGAAGGCAACACGGTAGATTGCAGTACCAATGGAAGTGTGCAACATGCTGTTTCAAATCCCTATGCCTAAAAGCTTAGAATCGAAACACCTGATAGCAATCATCGTCAAACCATGCTTGGCTGCTGGAAGCAGACTAGAAGGCCAGCGCACAGATTTGAACGAGTTTGGGGTTTACAAACTTTGCCAACGTTGTCAAATTTCAAGCTCGGCTTCGGAAGAGTAGCTTGCAGAACAAAGAAAGGAAGACGACTAAGGCAACACACCTGCCTCGCTAGCAGTTTCTGGGTGCTACAAACATCAGTGGAACATGACAAGGACGAACGTGAAACTACAGACACGCATTTCAGAACGGCCTACTTGTTTGCAGCACGTTTCAGATTCTATGACAGAACAAATTCAATGGAACCACGTACCCCGTCCGCTTGATGCCTGCAAGTACTTCAATGCCAACCCGCGGCACCTCAAAAGACTTCCGCCACACTCCAAGTGCTTGTGGAAGAAAACGATGTCCTCCTTGGTTCGGGAAGGAATGGCTACACCGGATCTAAGAACTCTGAGGCATGGTCAAAAAGGTTGGCAGATTGCTCCAGACCTTCCAATCTGATTTTACTCCTATTTGTAAACAACAAGCTGGTAAACACACTCTCGGCTTGATTACTTGACAGCATTCAATGATGTTCAACCCGATTCAATGTCTGATCTTAGCTTGGCAGCTTAAATCCCATGCCCTTGGTCCTTTTCAAAGGTAACCAAGTGGCGCAAGTTGCAACAGTCACGGGAACCACTGGATCGCCCATGAAAGGAAGCGCTGCAACTTGTAAGTAATTCACTCCATTGGTGCCCTCGGCGCAGGTCCCCGACCATTGACCTGTTGGGATAAAGCTTCGCCCACAGAGGTATCTTCGGTGTAGCCCCCGACACGCTCCCAGATCTGGCGGTGGTAGAGCCAAGTCGGGTGCAGCAAGGTCACTTCGCGAAACCTGCAACTCACAGAAAGAAACAAGCATGGACATGGTCTTGAGCTACTATGGGCCAATCGAACAAAATCACATCACCCATCTAAACCAACAGTAGTAGACTCCATGAACAGAGAGGACCCTGATAACAGCATCTCCGGACAAATAGCAGAAAATGATTTGCTGAAGTCATGGATCCCTAGCAGAATCATACAAACAATCATGACAGCTTGCCACTGCTACCTCCAACAAGGTTCCCTACATTTCCCTTTAAACACCACCCGACCTAGAGCAAACTGCCTTTCAACGGGAAAAAAAACAAATGGCAAAAAACAAGTCAACTCACATAGGGAGTTCTTCCCAAGTCGGGATCATGACGCACGGCTT